ACAAATAATGCTGTTATGAACATACGGAGAAAAGCTTTTGTGTGGGTGCATGTTTTCATTCTCTTGATATCTAAGTAGGTGTGGAATTGCTGGGTTACATGTTAATTATTTGATGAACTACCAAACTGTTTTCCAAAACAGCTGTATCATCTTCCCCACCTGCTATGTATGAGAATCCTAATTTCTCCACATTTTCATCAAGTTAGTTTCCCTTTCTAAATTGAAAAAAAAAATTACAGCCATCCAAATTAATGTAAAATGGTATCTCATTGTGGTTTGGATTGGATTTGTAGTTCCCTAAAAATTGATGATATTCAGCTTTTTTTTTTTATGTTGGATTGATAGTAGGATATGTAGTAGATTTTATTTAAAAAATATATGTACTTGAGAATATCTGCTGGAATATTTAATATTGGGGTGGGAGGGTGTAGTTGGGACTCAACTACAAGAGGACGTTCCCCTTTGAAGTCCCACTACTTCTAACCCATCCCACTCATGTGGTCCGGGTACTTCCGTTCCGGGGTGTAACTGTAGGATGCTAGGAGAGGCAGGAAGCAAGCACAGGACTTTCCTTGTTTCAAATGAATGCTCATCACAAGGCCAGACCCTCAACAGTCAGCATTTAGTGATCATCTAGTGATTCACACTTTTACAGGAGAACGGCTGCAACCTGAAGGGAGCAGGACTAGTTATCAGGAGATGGTCATTTGAGTCTCTAGAGGAGCAGTGAAGGGAGGTGGGGACTGTTTGGATGCAGGGTCTTTAGTGAGGCTTCCACAACCTGTCACTGCACATGTGGGCGGCTCAGAAACACATATTCCCAGGCCCCTGGTCTGGACCTGATCAACCGGGGTGGGAGGCAATGTGCATTATGAAGAAGTGCCGAGGTAATTCTTGTGCAGGTCAGAATTTGAAAATGACTGCTTTGGTGAACAGAAAGGGAGGCACTGTGTAGATCCTGAAGAGGGAAGGCATGGAATCCTGAGTTTGGAGAGCTACACCAGAAGGAGGAACAAAACCTAAATTTTTCAAACTAGTCACGCCACCCCCAATAGAAGAAAAATGTGCTCTGGCAACACTGCCATGAAAAACAACTGAAGAAGGTGACTCCTCCTACACAGCAGAGCTGTTCAGAAGAACCACGCTGCACTGACAGTAATCAATTTTAATAATGAAGGCTAATATGTTTTGGACAGAAGACAAGAATAAATTAAAGCAAAGCTCACAAATGACAGGGTGATGAACATTGTGTCTTTAAAAGCACCAAAAAATCTTCTAATTGAACATTTGTTTTTTTCCTAACACTGTTTAACTTTTTTTCCAGCAGGGCATTCACATTGTTGTATGTACATTTCCCATATTAAATGATCCTTAGTGGGTCTGGCTTTTAGGGGAGTCATAGTGAGGTTGGGGTCATACAGAGAAAGGAGAGGTGGTTGGGCTAAAGCAGTGGTTCACAATAGCAGGTGGGTGGAGTTGACTGCAAATGACACATGATGTCTGGAGACATTTCTTTTTATGACAACTGGGGAAAGATATTGGCATCTAATGGGTGGAGGCTGGGGATAATGTTAAACATCCTAAAGTTCACAGGACAATCTCCCACAACAAAGACCCATCCAGGTCAAATATTAGTGGTGCTGAGGTTGAGATTGCTTGGGCTAAGGAATGAGGGCTGGAGAACTCACAAGTTCAAAGAGAGACACTCCAGAATCTGCTGAAGGTGCAGACCAGCAAAGACAATGCCCAGGAGTCTCTATTTGAAACAGAGGCCACCCCAAATAGAGGCCATCCGACTGCAGATGAACTCTTCTCCGCTCTTCTAACATGTTCAATTTTTATGTGTGTTCCTAATTGTCCTATTATACTGTCAAAGGTAAAACCTCTTTTTAAATTTTAGTTAACAAAAATAAGACCTGGGCCAAAACTGTATAGAGCTAGTGATAGAAGAGCATTCTAGAACAATCTACTTATTTTCCAGTTGGAAAACAGGCCTGCAAAAACTTGATGATTTATTTGTACATGAGGAATGCACAAATAAATGCACAAATAAAATGCATCTTACTCTTTTCCAGAGTAATTAACTTCCTCAAAGGGTTTGGTCATCTCGTCTTATGTGACACAGGAGGAGGCTGCTGTATGGTTCTTGCTTTATTTAAAACTGAATCCATCATTTCAGTTGTTATACATAGGCATTTTTTTTGCATCTTTCTGGATGTATGTTCAAACAAATGTCAAAAAATTTATGCATTCTATTATTAGTTCCAGTGTAAGACATTTGTTTAACATAAGAGATTCTGCCTTGGTAAAGGTGCTTTCTTGCCTGGTCTCAGTAAAAACACACAAATAGATAAACGTATCCAACTGCATATTTGAGTGACTTGTATAGTCTATATGGAAATTGGACAGCAGTACATTTTTCAAAGTAGAAAGTAAATACATAGTAATATAGGTTCCAGTGAGGAAAAGGGCAAATGTTGCTTTAAGTGGCATAAAGCTTCCATGACTATGACATGCTTTTTAATGTTCCTCTTTAACTTACCTTTTTCTCCCATTTTTAAAAATGGGAGTTATTGTTGAAAAAAAACAACAACAATCTATTGAAAAAATAACAATTGAACAATCCTGAGTGAAATTAATAGAGCAATATCCAATTTCTGATGGTACTTTTTGCCTCTAGGTGTTCATTTTTTTTTGTCCTTTTACCTTATGTAATATGCATCACTGTTTATATTAAGTACCCCAAATTAAAGTGGGGAAAAACATTTGCTTTAAGAGCTCACATTCTAGTTGAATACATAGGGAAGTTGGCCATACTTTGTGGTCATCAATAATAAGAGAAAAGCCTTGCTTTTCTTTTAGAATATTTATTATCCTTGAAAATGAAATGCCATTCTGCTTTATAAACTGAGCTGGCCTGGACTTTTCTATTAACAGCTTTTATTGGTAGTACATGAGCTACATAATGTAGCCCTGCTTATATGGTGAGCATCTGATTCACATGAATTATAACCATGAATTTACAAAAATAAAAGAATCCTTCCTGAAACCACGTCTCTTCTTACTACAGTTTGCTTTTTATAAACTTATGGCAAGACTGTGCAACCCTGCCTCCACCTCCTTTGGACCCTCCATGCCTTCCCCAAAGAAACCAGAGTGGGTTCTTCCCATCACTCCTGAGACTGGGACCCAATAACCTTCTTACCACGTCACAGTGAAGGTTTTTTGGTCCTAATTTTACCTGACCTCTCTCTCCTTTTCTTAGCACAACATTCTTTTTGCTTTTCTTCTTAATAAACTTTAAAATACTGTTTCTCAGTGTCTGTTTTGGTTTGTTTCTGAGCACCAAGCATGGCAACATTTGGAGGCAGAAAGAAGAAAAGGACCAAGGGAAAGGACTCTGGAAAGAAACGACAGGCGGGAGACCAGGAGAAATCCCTAGAGCCAGGTCAGACTACACAGTCCTGGGGCTCCCCAGGAAGGCAGTCCTACCCTTCCACTGGGCGAACCACATTCTAGACCTCCCAACCACTTCCACTTCTCTCATTTTTTCTATCACTAACTTAGTTTCATTTTCCTCTGCATTACAGAAAGTACTTTAAAACTAGTCTTTCTGCTTCTAGTAGTAGTTTCCTCCCCTTAGTACTTTATATTGTAGATGAGAATCTTTTTTAAAGCACAAATTTTGACCACATTACTTTGCTGCTTAACCTCGTATCCTAAGGATGCTGGGGAACCAAAGTGCACACAAGACCTTCCATTATCTGGCTATTGCTTATATTCACAAAGGAATGTTTCTTTCCTTTTCTCAACACCCAAGTCACACTGATAACTTATATGTGGTTCCTGCATCCCAGGACTTTTCTCCTTTAGGCCATTCTGATCTCCTGCTGGATCAATCTGTCCTTTTACACCTCAACTAACTGTTGCTCACCCTGTAAGCTTTGTGTTAGATGCCACACATGCTCCTTCACCTGCTGGGCCAGGAGAGGTCTGCTCCTCCCACCCCCTGACTCTGGACCATCCTTTCTAACCTCTAATCAAGCTGTGTTATGATTAAATTTCCTGATTTGTATTTCCCAATCCAATCCCAGAAAGTCTGTTTCATTTGCCTTTCTATCACTGATGTAAAGGAGGCACATAATGCATAAATGCATTTATTAAATAAATGTACCATTGATAGTCATGACATATGTAGAGGAGCCAATGAATATCAATACCTGGTTTATCAGAGTCAGAAAAAACTATTTCTATTATTGCACCAGTAAGAAATTTACAAAGACATAAAAGTAGTTTCCAAAATCATTAACTAGTCAACGGCAATAGGGGCACTGGAGAGGGTTTTAAAATTGGCATCTGTGGTTCTTAGAATAGAACTTTAAGAAGGAGAGGGACACAATAGATTGTTAGAGAGATCAATCCAACATCAAGAGAGAAGCTTATGTGAATATATCTGGAACAGAGTTCAATTGCACTTTGCCCCAGCTAGCTAGGAAATCACACACTCCGTGAAGCTTTGTCCTGAGGAAAGGAAATGTGCTACCCATTTGTACTAGGATGAGTGGATCCTTGGACTATTTTCATATTTTTGGCACCAAATACAGCTTGGGATATGAGAAATGCAAAATAAAGTCAACAAAAATGAATGCAAAAAGCTGGTTTCCATGCCAGGATGTCGAACATTAGTTAATCATTTGAAAAACATATGAGCTATTAGCAAAAGCAAAAAATCAGGCCAGTATGACTGACTGAGTAGTCAACTCATATAAATTCTAGAAACAAATTCAAAGTATTTGTCCTAGAAACATTGACTTGGTTGTATGCTTCCTGTGTAAAGTATAAAATTCAGTATATTGCATTTTGCCTCTTTTATACAACAAACCTTCTAGGGCAAGGTCTCACACTCTCTCCAAAATACAGAGTAATAGTCAAATACACATTAATAAGACTGTTTTACAAAATACTTTTTTCCAAGATTAAATACTATTAAAACAATTTACCTGAGTTAATTTTGTTGTAGTAGCAGGCAGAAGGGGTCGACTAAACTTCTTCTGAGACCCAATTGCTGCTGGAAATGGTGGTGCAGAAAACACAGCTGCAACACAATTAATTTTGTTTATCCACCCTTGCATTTCCTCTGGGCTCCTGTGAGAAACAGATATGCTTATATTAGGTTATTATCTTATTACACCATTACACCTTGCCCATTGCTCATTTCTGCTTTAAAGTAGCACACACAAAATCATTTACTCTTCTTGGTGCAATTAATCCATGACAAACTCCATTGGAGATTAACTTTTTAACCGTAGTACCCATGGTAATGAGGGTCCTGGAACTAATGATTATCATAGTGTAAGGCTGTGATTATTCCTCGAGGTAGAAAAGCAAAATCACTTGACATTAAGTATAAACCCCAATTGTCTGCTTGACAGTAGGCTAGGTCAAAAAGTAATTACTTAATTTCTTCCAATCACGTAAATTGACTTTTTAAAAACCCAACAAAGGGATAAATTGATCAGAGTTAAGGTACATCTACTTTGGAAAGCAGTTCTGACACCTCTTTAAAAAGTCAACTATACATTAATCACACAAACCTAGTAATCCTATTTGTAGGTTTATGCAGAGAAATTAAAACATATCATTACGGGTATTGTATGTAAATGTTCATAGAAGCAGTACTTATAATAGTGAAAAAGAGGAAACAACCTAAATGTCTCTCAATTAGTGAATGAAGAAAGAAAATGCTACTCAGCAATAAAGGCATGAAGTGCTGATAGACGCTACAATATGGATGGACACCCAAAACGTTATGCTGAGTGAAAGAAGCCAGACACAAAAGACCACTGATGGTATGATTCCATTTATATGAATCTGGAAACTGTAGAGACACAAACGAGATTAATGGCTTCTAGGCTGGGGGTAAAGATGGGGAGTGACTGCTAAGGGCATGGAGGATCTCTCTGGAGTAATGGAAATGTCCCAAAACAGGATTGCAACTCTGGTTGCATAGTTCTGTAAATTATAAAAAAATCACTAAGCTGTACACTTAAAATATGCAAAATTAAATTGTTTGTGAGGTATACCTCAGTAGGTTGTTTAAAAATTCACATGTGAGGAGGTAGAAATCATCTGATGTCATGATTATACTTCTAATTATGTCACATATATTCATTGAGTCTGACATTTAACAAATATTTGTGAATTATAATGGAATGGTAGAAATAGTCACGAAACAGGACAATTTATCCACCATGTATATAATCAATAATAGGAAATGGACAGAATTATCAGTCAATCTAAAATAATTTCCTTTAGCATTACTTTGAGGCCACACTAACCTAAGATCATTTTAGATATCAACACATGTCTCTCCATTCTGATTTCCTGGCTCTGTTAGCTCAATTGACTACTTTCTGTTATCAATTCTATTTGAAGTAATAACATCTCCTTAGTTACCATATCTGGTATTTTTAAAGAATGCTGGGGAATAGAATATTTTAAAGGATTTTTATGATGAGTAGCTGTAATTACACCATTAGCTATTTGGGGTGGTAATGGTGTTTTACGTCCACATTAGAAAAATCCATGTACCTTGGGTTTCCTTACAGCTTCCTCCTCACCTGATGTCAGCAATTTTAGACCTTCTGGAGTTCCACATCTACAAGTTGCCAGAGGGCCTGCTCTTGTTCTTATTGCTTTCTTTGATCTCACATTGATCAGCAAGCATTCAGATACCTGTGCTCAGTATTGTGATGTCAAATTTTAATTCCAATGCTAGATGTGGTCATTAGGTAGTATTTGTGGGGGTGACTCTGATGTCAAGTTCAGGCTACAAAAGGCATGCCACGGATGGTTAAAATGCTGCCAACACCGATGGTTGCTCCTATTAAAATTCCTGCTCCCAGGGCTCAGTTCTTCACTTTACAAACCTAATATTCTCCATGTAGGATATTCTATTTTAATCCAAAGGCTGTCACCAGACCTCTTAAACTGGCAACCCATCCCATTTCCTTGCTCCAGTGTGATTTTATCTTTTCCTTCCAGCTTAATCATGGACTATTAGAGTTCAGAAGGAAAAAAGACAGAATAAAATGGAAACCTATACTTATCAAAGGGTTTCTTTATGCCAGGCACTGTGTGAGGTCCTTTATATACTTGATCTCTTTTAATTCTCAGAAGAACCTTATGAGATAAACGTATTATCTCCATTAATAACAAGCTGAGGTTCAAAGAGGTTAAAGGACATGCCAGGACAAAGAATAAGGAAATGGTGATTTGAATCCAACTCTATTTTACTCATTGTGTGAGTAGTTGTACACAATATCATATTTTATTCATGAAGATATTAAATTGTAGAGATGGTAAATGGCTGACTAAATGTCATGGGCTACTTTGAAGCAGAACAAGAAACTTGAATCCATTGTGGGTCCCTTGCTGGTGGGTGCCGTATATTAACACAGACCTGAAGGGTGTGATCCTATACCTCTAAATTATATACCGTGTGGTGTATGAATTTTACCTCAATTAAAAAAACAAAACAACGTGGACCCAGGGTTGATATTTCCTTACTCCGGTTTTCTTGAGCAGTCCACCCTCTAGTAAAACTCATTAAGGACTTTTGACTACAATTCAAAAAATTTCCCCTGCAGATTCTGATTCTATTTCTCAGCATAAAGTGGTGCCATGCAAACTAACAAACCAAAGAAACCAAACCAACAAAACTTACTGGGCTTGAAAAAGCAAGACCCTCCAGTCGGCGGTTTTAAGTTTAAGCACATTGGGTTTCTTCTCATAGTCTGTGGCCTTGGATGCCAGTGCATGATGCACACTCACAGCATTTTTCAAATCCTCTTCAGACAGGGCCTTTTCTGGCTTATATTCATCCTACAGACAGATACAAAGGTGACAGAGATGAGACAAAATTTTTACTTCTCTTTTTAAAACCTGAAACTATAACACAAAATTTTTAGAAAATCCATAAAGGTACATGATAAAAGTGAAATGAATGGTAAAAACTCTTTGCTTCCTTGGAAATAAAAGTATTTATAAAAGCATTCTGTTCTTTGAAAAATATGGTCAGAATGAGAAAATACATATTTACTCTTAAGGGGCCTTTAAAAAAGAGCTAGATATAATAAATAAGGTAAACAAGGAAGGCCAAAGACAAAATATCCATCACACCCACTGCATAGTGATTAGAAATGAAACCAGGTCTAATAGTACCAGTGACATGGTTTGAGAAATAAATGTAAAAGTGTTGAGATAGTCATCAGTGTGGTGAAAGCCAAGTTAGAGTGTTCTTTGTGTTAAAGACACCACATTTTCCTGCTTTCTTTTGAGACTAATATTAAAAAAAAAAAAAACCCAAAACAGTAAAATAGAATTATTTCTCCAGTTCCTTGGCTAAAAGAAAGAGAATAATCAGTTAATAATAATCAGTTAATAATAATAATCAGGAAAAAGCTCAGCTCTACTACCATACATTTGAAAAGTGGGAAAATTAATATAAAAAGGAAGGGACCATGTGTGGAAAACATTTTTATTCTTTTTTTTTAAAGATTTATTTATTTATACAAGAACTGGAGTACAGTCAGAGGCACAGGAGGGTGAGAGGATTCACCAGAGACAGAGCAGGGAGCAGAACAGGCAGACGGACCGAAGACACTGCTGAGGGGAGCACCGGGAGAGACAGGAGAGGTCTGCCGGCTCCATGTGGGTTTCTCCGTGGCCAACTGGGAATCAAACTGGCACTGCAGAGGCTGCACAACTCATTGAACTTATAATGGTTCTTTTGAGGCTTTCTTCAAACAAACAAATCCCAACCAGTAAAATAATAAGAATTTAAGATAAACTTGATTGCATCACTATTAGTAGTAGTAGTGGTAGTAGTAGTAGTATATCTAGTAATTTTCATGGACCTAGTAGAATAATAGAGGTCTCAAAACCAATATAAACATAGTAGGCTTAACGTCTGTTATAGGAGATGTTTTTCAGTGCTTAAGGTCTCCCCTCTCATGATGCTACATAAACTCCACTTGTGTACACACACACACACACACACACACCTTACTTTCTAATTAGCAGTAAAAACTTAAAGGAAGACATTGTCTGTTCTCTTATCACAGTCTGGTTTTGCAAATTTTCAAAAAAAAAAAAAATTATACATCCTCCTCCTTTCCTCCTGCCTCAAGCAATTTGAAAGTACTATTGCCACCAATTCAAACTGGGTAGAAGTAAACAGCAGCTGTTGATCCTTAATGATGACTGTCAATGGAGGTTTTCCCTCTAAAATACATAGCAAAAGCCAGAGCAATATAAAGATTACCCCAATTCATACTATTAAATGATGAAATTTGTACTTTGAGATAGCAATAGCAAGTCCATTTTATTAGACCTTAGAGATTAAGAACTGTTGTTGACAATAATGATTTTCTAGAGAGGTGTGAATTTAAAAACAATCTTCTAATACAATGTATTTATATGCATCTGTTCTATAATTCCAATAAATGCATGATGACAATCAAGTTATAAGAGTCCTGTCTTTTATCAATGAGATTTTTCTTTGTGATTTGACATTCCAAAGAGTCACAATTCTCCTCCCAGGGGAATTCCTATTAGAGAGGAGTACCAGCTAGGCAGCAAGACCACTAAGTCCCCTCCAGCCTCATGATCATGCTTTAATGGAACCCAGCTTATCTGAGCATCCACTCAATTCAACCACTTAGTTCTAGATAGGAATCTGGGGAAGATGAATAATGGGGAGTGGGGTGAATGGCTAGGGCCAAATTATCTCACAGAATTTATGTGTTACCTCCATTTTGACATTTTCTTATTTCTAACACATCTGAATTTGAGTTTGCACAGAGGTCAGCCTAGAAATTTGTGTGCTCATTTTGGGTTTTTATCTTAATTCCATCTCACCAGTTTCCTGTGGTTTGCTTTTCTTTTATGAATTAAAGATCATTACTTAGTTCTTTTGTTTTTCATATTACTTAATTAAGAAAGAATTTAAGGCTGTAATTTTTATTCTGAATACAAATTACACATTACTTAAGAATTAAGAGTATTTTTTATTGCTTTCTAGACCAGTTTGTATTTTTTGACTGTAGGGAGTCCAAGTGTTTCTCAAATTTCAAGTACCTATAGTTTTAGGTATTTATCATTATTATATAGTTCTAGTTTTATTGGCTTGTGATCAGACATTGTGCTCTGTAAAATCTATTTTCCCCAAATCCTTTTCCAACTAATGTGTTGATTTTTGTTAATACTTCATATTCTCTGAAGGATGAGTACAATTTATATTCAAGTTTATTGATTTAATTCATCCATGTGCTTTTACTGTTTTTTTGACTAATTCATCCTCTTGCACTGTATTTTAAGTTCTAATAGTTGTTTTACATTTTAGTTGCTATGTTGCTTTGTTTTAGTGAATTTAGGTTTTGTTATCTTCCTTGTAACTATGCACTATTTATTATTCTAAAATGTTTTTTTTTACCTGGTTAGTACAAAATTACATATGATGGAAATAGAAAAGGTTCTTTAAATGCTCTATTTCCCTACTTCTTGTCCACATCAAAATGAACCTTAAAAATACTCTGGGCCTCCCCGGTGGCGCAGCGGTTGAGCGCTGGGTTGCAAAGCTGCCCGCAGCCTCTGCAGCGCCGGTTCGATCCCCGGCTGCTCCCCGGCCACTGGAAGAGGGTCCCACATGGCGCGCAGACCTCTCCTGCCGCCCGCTGCTCCCCTCAGCAGTGTACTTCGTCAGTTTGCCTGTTCTGCTCCCTGCTCTGGCTCTGGTGAATTCTCTCGCCCTCCCACGCTTCTGACTGTACCTAGTGCTTGTATAAATAAACAAACAAACAAATAAATAAATAAAATAAATCTTAAAAAAAAAAAATACTCTGACTTTCCTCCTTTCCACTAATCCTAAATGTTGTTGAAATGGTTTAGTATATTGCAGGGCCTCCCCGGTGGCGCAGCGGTTGAGCGCTGGGTTGCGAAGCTGCCCCCGGCCTCTGCCGCGCCGGTTCGATCCCCGGCTGCTCCCCGGCCACCAGAGGAGGGTCCCACATGGCGCGCAGACCTCTCCTGCCACCCGCTGCTCCCCTCAGCAGTGTACTTAGGTCCTTCTGCCTGCTCTGCTCCCTGCTCTGGCTCTGGTGAATTCTCTCACCCTCCCGCGCTTCTGACTGTACCCAGTGCATGTATAAACAAACAAACAAACAAACAAATAAATAAATAAAACATGCCTCTATTAAAAAAAAAAAAGAAATGGTTTAGTATATTGCAATCTTCTATTTTATTAAAATTATCTTGTATTATATATTTTCTGTTTTAAGAAACTTTATATAAAAATATATACACACATATATAACTTACACATTCCCTGAGTCTCTTTTTCTTCTAGATTTGTTTCCATGTTTTATTGCTTACCTACTTTCTATCTTTTCTCCACCTTGTGGTCTCTCACCTCTTTGCTATTTTCTCTTCTTTCAAGCAGATGGGTTCTTATTTTCAAATATCTCTCAATTTCTTTGACAGCTAGGGAACTGGGTTTAGAAATGCAGTCCTTTTCCATGCAGTAGTCTACAGATGCTATCCTACTGGTTTCTAAGCTTTCTGTTTTACAAAAGTCCAAAGCCAGTCTATTCTATTTTCCTGTTCTTGTATTTCTGTTAGGAATCTCACAGGGGTTTCTTTTCCCCTTAGAATTCAGGAATTTTTGCTAGGTTATGCCTTATTTTTCACCAATCTAGTCTGGGGTTGAAAAATTCCACTCTAATTCTTCCTTATATGATGACGCACTTGGGCTGCTTCACTGTTGCTAACAAAATCTGCTGGAGATAATCAACCCAGTTGTTCAGAGCTGTGTCATCACAGACTCACAGTCTCCAGCTATGGTCATAGTCAATGCCAATCGGCAATACTTTTACACAACCATGATAAATCACTCTGTTCCATTCTGCTAAATGTCCACTACTCTCTTCAACACTACTACTTAGAATTAAAACTATCTAGGCTCAAATTTCTAGCTCTGATATGGCATTTAATGTTTTTGTGCTCTTAGGTTAATTAAACATATCACTTTACTTCTTTGAGAAGTAATTAAATTATCTTCCTCATAAAGCTGGCAGATAAATTAGAAGACGTACTGTTTTTTAAACTCTTAATAATGTTCACAACATAAACACTGAATAAATACTAGTCTGTATAATTTCTAATAAGTTCTTAGTAGAATATAGCTTGATCTTGTTTTCCTAAGGTCAAACTTGTAAATATCAAATATTCTGCTTACATATCTTATAAACACCTATATTTTGTTACTACTTTCAACTTCTTTCTTCCTAAAATAGAGGCTAATCCTGTGTTCTCAGATCAACTTCTACCAGCTTTTCCTAGGATCTTATTTTGTTGGTTATTTTCTTTCTTTTGTATTTTTAATTATTCTTTATCTACTGGCTTCTTCCTCACATTCTATAAATATGCTCAAGGTCACTCATCTTTGTAAGATAATAGTTCCTCCTGAATATTGTTTCTCCTCTGGCTGTCACTCTTTCTTCCTTTATATATGATGGGTTACTAAGGTCACATTAACTGTTTTATATGTTAATTTCCAGTTCATCCTTTAACCGGGGAGTACATTTCCACATGTCATTGAAACTTCTCTGGCAAAGATCAGCTGTGGCTTCCTAACTGCAAAAGTCAGTAGGTTCCTGTTAGTTCTCATTTTCTAGCACCCACAGAGTCAACAACATTCTTGAAATTCTCCCTTGGTGTCTTGTTATAATATTCTTCTGTTTTCTCTACCTCTCTAACCATTGCTTTGGTATCTCCTCTTCAGCCTGTCCTTCAGATGTTAGTTTTGCTGTTGGCCTTATTCTTTC